AGATAAGAATTGATCCTTTACTCCAATGGAAATTAGTCTTGAGCTGAACTGTTTGTGTAAATTCTAAAGCCAATGATAAATGCAAATTTTAAGGTCAATTTGTAGTTTTGCCAAATGCATTTTTGTAGCATGTGTGTCAAATCAAGACATAATATCCATAATTAGCTCTCTATTGCAACATCAAACATAAATGTATATTATTGAAGTTGATATGCACGATTGACACTCTTAAATTTCCTGAATAAAAAGTTTAAACTGATATTAGTTAACATACATCTAACTTCTCTACTCTTTACAAAGTACGGAGTACTGAGTAGCAAATTGAGGTACTAAGAATTATAACTTTCCAGTAAGTTCAAGATCATGTTGCAAGACTCCAATAGAGCAGTGATGAGGCACCAACGAGGCTATGACAGTTACCAGAAGCAAAACTTGTTCCAATACACACTAGAGTAGGATATAAACCTCGAAAACATTACATCAATTTCAAATTTGATAAGCACATATTCCTATATATAAAAATATTAATGAAAGGGCAGGATCAAGTGAGGGAGATGGGCTTTGCAGAAAAAATATGAACATCTATACGCCTCAAACATATTTTATTTTTGTTTCTGAAAAAATTTAACCAGAAAATACGCATGAAACAAAGTTATAACTCAATAGATGATAAGGACAACTATGCCTTTGCCTCATATTGGAGAATGAAAGATGAGATTGGGTCCTTCGTTTGGAACTCCCCTTTTCCTTTCCCCTTTGATATCTTCTTGCCAAGATATCCTTTCCTTCTCAGACATGGAACTTTCTATCCTCTCCTTACAGTCGAGAGATTACTGCTGATTTTACCTGGGTACATCTGGAACTTCCATCGCCTAATCCTCACTCGACAGCTCCGCAGAGTGAAAGAGCACTTCTTTTAAAGCCCGTCAAAATAGAACAAGGAAAATGTAAATCAGCAGAATTAACCAGCACTACTCTAGTGAGTTGAGGAGCAGGATCTCTGTTCCAGCTTTTTCTACAAAGCAGTGAGAAAGGGAAGAGATGGTTTTTCCAAGCAGATAGAGAGAGATGATGCAGAGGTATTCAGCGATGTAGATGCTATAATCAGAGAGAACACACGGTTCTAAAAGACTTTATTCACAACAGAGTGGGTTTAAATTTCAGATGTTAGAGTGAGACCCCATTCGTCTCAAGTAAGGGGTCGTTTGGTTCACTAAGCTGGAATGGATTGATATACATTCTCATACTTGGGTGGTATGGATTCTATATCCCATACCAATCTAAAGTTATTTGGTTTAATCATGGAATGGAATATCATACTTAAGTAATAGTATGGATAATGAATCCTTAGGGGGGAGGTGGGTATGAGATTCCCAAGGAATGGGGTGGAGTTAGAATCCCCCAGATATGAGATTCCATACTTTAAATAGCCACTAAACAAATAAAACCATGGATTGGATTCGGAATCCATTCCAACCCATTCCAAGAACTTCAACCAAACAACCCCTAAGACCTAAGTGTTTGGCTGGAGAGCCTTTTTAAGGAGGACAGTGTTTGCTATGAAGGGGGATAAGTCTCAGGGACCAGATGGGTTCACAATCACAATGGTAATTTTCCACAACTAATGGGTGTAATCACAGATAATTTGCTTGGCTTTTCTTTCTTTCTTTTTTTATATTATTATATATTTTTTTTTTTGGAGTTTCACACTTTCAATGTTGGAATTACCAATAACATAATTACAATATTAATATCTAGAATCACACAGCACATGACCAGCCAATCTTAAACCATTGAAACCAATATAAGGTTCAACTTATACAGAAAAAGAAAAAACAACCTACAGGAACTCAAAAACTCTATATCATGCAATATAAGTCAGCCAGCATGTCTGTACATCCTGTGCATCTATCTGTCTATGTATGCAAAAGTATTTCAATTCACATATCTATGGCACTTTCACTTTTGGCTATAAAACTCTCTACATAAAGTATTATAAGGACTAAGTATAAGGATCTATACCTTAGACTTCCCAGCCCTTGCAGCATCAACTAAAGATGGAACTAGTAGCTTGTCACCAGGGCCAAAGATACCACTTGGACGCAAGGAGCAAGTGAGAAGCCCCTTTTCACCATTTGCCTTCAAGACCAATGCCTCTCCTTCAGCTTTGGTGGCTGAATAAGAATCATTATGCTAAAAGAACAAAAGATAAGAGTTATAATAAAATAAAGTAAAAAAAGTCAATAACTTGCAGAGGAAGATGGTTGCATCAAAGTTGCTGTAAGTGACCTATTAAGGATCAAGCTAGCCGAGCAATATGACTAGCATATTTCAACAACAGAGGTAACAGTATTGTTTAATACCACCCATCAATACTATCATCACATTGGAAACATTAATAAAAATAACTTAAAAGTGGAAGCTGCTTGCTTCAAAATTGTTGTGACCTAATCAAGATTCGAGATGGAAGTCAGCACGATATGAGTAGCATACTTCAACAACAGAGCTAAAAATAGTATAGTACATTTAAAAAATGCTCCTTCCCCCCCCCCCACCCACCCCCCACAAAAAAAAAAAAAAAAAAAAAGAAAAAGAGTAGTCTGACGAGAGATAGATAGAACAAGTGACCTCATTCTATCTCAAAAAAGGATACCAAGTTTTCTTTTCCCCTTAGAATCTCATGTTAACAATGCACAACTCTGGTTATAAAGTTTAGTAAATCTATTAATATATAGTTAAAAGTGCCTCTTCCCATCCCATCTCCACACCCCACGATAAAAGATAGTACTGATTTAAGGGAGGATGCAATAACATTGGGTGGTAAGGAGTTTCCATAAATGATTTTTTCATGTAATTGGGTTGGATTGTACAGAGGAATGGAGATATTGACCAAAATGTGAGTCACATGAATAGGTCTGAGTGGCTCAGATGGAGAGAACAAATGGAATGTTGTCGTTATTGTGTGACTTTAGTACAACTTAAAGGTAAAGAGAGAATTCTATAGGGTGGATATAAGACCAACATTGTTATATGAGTCGTAAAGTCGAGCATCATAGGAAGGATCATATTAGGAAAAGAATATCAGGTTGCTCCAAAACCTTAAATTCTCAAAGTAACCTCCTGATAACTATCTACCCCCACTAAGTCCCCAATAACTATCAAACATTACCTATTTTGGCAAAGGATATATCACATGAATTAGCATTAATACATTCTAGTAGAAAAAAATTATTTTTGATAAATGACAAACTAAAATTCCCGATTCATAGAAAGTATATACAGAGAGTAGAATGATGAGATTGATACCTTGACTGGGTAGGATAAAGACTCGTCTGCATTAATAACCCCGCGTACCCCATCAAAGACAACACTGGCAGAGCTAGTATAAATCAATCTCTTTACTTGCATCTCAACACATGCCTCAATCACATTTCTTGTTCCTGGCACAGGAATAATGGTAAGCATAGTGTTAATTCTAATTGGTATTAGCGATACTCTGACAAGTATGCAGCTATGAATTCCAATGCAAATACTTGCATATGCATTTATAAAGTTCACCTTCAACATTGACAGAGTAATGAAGATTATAATTGTTAATAGAAGAATCCGGAGCCGCCATATGAAAGACAACATCAGCTCCATGACAGGCTGCAATACAATAAACAATGTCTAATATTAGCTATCCTATACATCCTAAAAATTGACTGTGATTCCGAATCGAGCAACCTAACAAAAGTGATGTCAAAGTGTACAAATAAAAAGAAAAGGCAAGCAAAGCTACCCTTAAGCACTTGACCCTTATCTCTGAGATCAGCAGATACATACTGAGCACGACCGGACGACAAAGCCTTGCCAAGGGTTCCCTCCTCCTCATAAGCATCAAGCTTAATAGAGTGACCCAAATCGGCTATTCGAACACAGAACATTTCGTATCGAATCAGCATTTCGACTAAATGCCGGGCTGCAAACCCTCTTCCTCCGGTAACCACACACCATCTCTCTTGACTTGTCATCAGTGAAATTCAACTACAACTACAAACCCCCAATTGCATCAATATTATGCAAACAACTCAATAATTTACAATGTTAAGATACAAATTTGGTGAAAATTACAACAATTTATTCGCAACATTATAATCTTATAGTAATTATAACTAATAGTTCAATGATCTAACATAGAAGATCTCTAAACTGAAAATTAAATTAAGGATTAACACTAGATTGTGAAATTGGTATGCGCTTGATTGAAAACAAAGATCATACCTCGGAAGTTGATTCAATGGAGGAGAGAGGAAAATTGAGAGTACACTTCAATGGAGGAGAGAGATTGTGGGACGCACGACGCAGCATACACGTGAAAAACTCCAATACTCCCTCCGTTTTTAAATACTTGCAGCACTTTCCTTTTCCGGCCGTTTTTAAATACTTGCTCCATTTCCTTTTTTTTGGAAAGTTTTACAATATTTTATTAATTTCTCTCACCAAGTAGACCCAACAATATTAATTTTATATTCTCTCTCCTTCAATTCTTTTCACTACTTTTGATTTCTTACAATTTTTTAGTCTTCCACCAACCTCACTACCTCCATATTTTACTACTTTCTCCAATTTCTCCTAAAACTCTGCGCATGGAAAAATGGAGCAAGTATTAAAAAACGGAGGGAGTAGTAATTTGTTATAAAAAAATAAAAAAAATAAAAAAAAAAATTCGTCAATGGCTATCGTCGAACATCATCTTCGACCTTCAATCTCAACCGTTTGATCTCATTAAATATCATAGGTTGGTTCGGTCGAACCATGGGTGTGTTCGATCGAACCCTTTTTTTTAAGAGAAAGAGAAAACTTCATATTAAGTCAAGGAAATCCAGTACATAGTTCTTAGAAACACAAGGCAAACTTGCTTCCTAATACACATTACAAAAGATAAACTAATATTCTTGAAACCAAATAAATTCCAGTTAGTAGTTCTAATACTCAGCATACACCATCCATAAATTGTCCTACTTCATCTGAAGATTGTTCTGAGCTCTGTCATCATCATAGGCATCCAGTGCGCGTAGTGGTGGTTCGTCATAGAGCTTACTGACTCCATCCTCCATCATCATTGCAATCTTAGCCAAGTAGTGGGCTACTCTATTTGCCTCTCTTGGGATGTAATTGGATGAGAAGTCACACCCTTTACTCAAAAGGCGTTCCATATCTTTCAGTATGACCGAGTACTCATGGGTACCATAATTGGCAACATCCTCAATTGCTTTTTTAGGCTTGCAGCGTCTGTTTCAATAATGACCTTAGTCAGCCCCGCATCCACTGCTAATTGCATTCCTCCCAGCACAACCTTCAGCTCGGCCTCGCGCGGATCTCCTGGCAGCGATCTTCCAAGCCTTACCAAAGAACCATGCCCCATCATCAGTTCGTGCAACAACACCAGCTCCAACCTTGTTGTTCTTCTTCCAAGTCGCGTCAGTGTTAATTTTGATAACCCCATTGCTAGGCTTAGTCCACCTCTCCTCCAGATGCCTTATCGCAGGAGAAAGACCTCCATCCTGAAATATGTTAAAAGTGGCAACCAAATCGACATTATACCTATTAAAAAGGGTGAGAGGGTGAAGTAAGGCCTACTGAAAAATGGTATAATTCAGAGCTTTCCAAATGTGCCAGAAAGCTACTGAAAACATGGTATTCCAAGTAGTGTTGTGATTAAGATTGTATTTAATCCAACCTTCCCAATCTAAATAGAAGAAGGAATTATAGTTAAACTCTTTTTCCATGCAACTTAAACCAAACACCCTAAACCATAAAGTTCTAGTGTTAACACAATCTCTAAAGAGATGCATGTGGTCTTCATTATCTAACTAACATCTAGTATAAATGGGATTGAAGTTGTCAATTTTAGCTGCCAAGACCGTTGCCACAGGGAGTATTTGATGACTTAGATTAAAAAAAACATTTTATATTTATAGGGGATGTGAAAGTTCCATATTTTTTTCCATTTAATGTTAGGAAAGGAAGGGTGGGAATTAAACTTGCAAGATAAAACATAGGCACTTTTTATCGTAAATTGGCCATTTGGGGTCAATTTCCAACAAAGATTATCATCTATCTTTAGGAAGAGGAATACTTTCAATCATTTTACTCAATAAATCCGGCACAATGTGCTTAATTCTCCTAGTATCCCACTCCCCATTAGTGATGATGTTGCTAACTCTCCAATGAGCAATATAGTCCGGGATGAGGTTGTCAATAGCAAGATATAAAGGCTTGTCGCCCACCCAATGGTGATACCAAAAACAAATATCATTTCCATTCCCAATTCTATAAGAAATACCCTCCATAAGAAGGTCTTTACCCTTAAGGATATCTCTCCAAAGGGGACAGTTCATGAATAATTCTCCATCCAAGCTTAGCCATAAAGGCCAAATTCCAATTCCTAAGAATTCTTATTCCAAGCCACCCCATACCGGAAGGGATACAAATCTTCTCCCAACTAGTTCTAGGAAGATAATGGGATCTATCAACTTTGTTCCAAAGAGAACGCCTACAATTTATCTCAATATCTTCTAAAATAGAACAAGGAATAAGAGTGGTTTGCATAGCATAGAGAGGGTAGGCATTAATCACCGATTTAATAAGAGTACACCTAGCCGCCATATTAAGAAGCTTAGCTTGCCAACCCTTAATACGATCCTCTGTTTTATTAAGAAGATCCATGTAATTCGCTTTCCTAAGTCTATTAGGACTAATATATATTAACACCCAAATATTTCCCAAAGGAAGGAGCACCTTTAATATTGGAAGCTTCAATAATAGCAAGTTTTAAGGAAAGACACAGTTTAGGCGGGAAAATGACCTTAGACTTGGTGGGACTAATGTAGAGCCCGAATTTAGATCCGAAATCAAGTAGGACTTCCTTGATAATCTCTACATTTGCCACCGTAGCTTTGGCAAATAAAAAAACATCATCCGCATAGAAAAGATGGGAAATGCTCACATCTTTATCTATTTTTAGAGGAATCCATTTATTTTCTCCCACCTTTTTCTCAATCATTAAAGATAATCTTTCCAAATATAACACAAAGATATAAGAAGATAAAGGGTCTCCTTGCTAATCCCTCTTGAAGAAGTAAAACTGTCTGTAACTACTCCATTCCAAAGAATTAAATGTAGGGAGTATTAATACAACTCAAGATGAGGTTAACAAGACCCAACAAAGTTTCCCTAATAAATCCCCACTCCAAACTATCATAGGCTTTAGAAATATCAATTTTGAAAGCCATTAAGTGTTTTTTGCTATTTTTTTTAAAAAAAGTGAGCTATTTCTTTAATAACGAGAACGTTCTCCTCAATTGACCTACCTTCAATAAAACTAGATTGGACCGGGCTAATGAGATCTCCCGAAAGGGGTTTTATTCTATTAGCAATGATTTTAGTGATGAGTTTATTAACGGAATTACAAAGCCCTATTGGTCTAAAATCACTCATAGTTTCGTAAAAATTCTACAATGTCATTCTTTAAAAATGATACCACAACTTACTGATCTGGCAAAATCTGGTAGGCCTATATTTTGTATTTTTATTTTCATTTTGAATTATTTTAATGTCCATAATGTATTAAAATTGTATTTTTTTTTGTATTCTTTTTAATACATGTAATTTTTTTTTTAGAAATACATAATTATAAATTATGAAAATCTAGTTTTATAATAAAAATTAATTTTCAAATTTATAATTATAATTAGAAATCATAAAATTAAATTCCTTCATCATCTACGTCAAAATTGTTCATCATCTCGTTCATCGTTCATTGTTTATCATCATTCATCGTTCATCATTCATCAATCATTTTATAAATTATGAGAATCTATTTCATAACATTAATAAATTTTTGAAAATATACTTATAATTAAAAATTGGGATCATGGATATGCTACCGGAGAAGAAGAATGATTGTTGGAAGTATTGCCTAAAAATCGCCGGAAAACTGCCCTTTTCCTTCCCGAGAAAGTCGCCTGAAGCCTTCTTGAAATTGACCAAAACCGAAACTAAAATTGGTGCCAAATAGTCCAAGAACTGCAATGCCGAAATGCCTATGATGTCGCCTAAAATCGCATCAGAAACACACCCCAAAAGTAATCAAACCGAGAAAGACCCCTAATATAAAAAAGGACCAAAAACGCACCCAAATACACCTTAAACCGCTTGCAAATTCGTTAGAATCTTGAGCCGCCGCCTTAAACCTGGCGCCAATAGCTGGCGTTAACGCCAACTCTGTTTTAGGTGCGCCAATGCTCTGTTTTGATATTTTATCTTTTTGGCTGATTTTTCTATAAATAACGTCTTAAAAACTCCGTTTTGAAGGACCAGTTTTCAAATATAATCATCTAAAAACTCCATTTTCATTCACCAAATTCCGTTTTCATTCACCAACAACCAGTTTTCAATTCTCTCATTCTCTTAATCATTCACCATCTCTCTCTCTCGTTCTCTTTTCTAAACTAGTCTTTTATATACAAAATTCCGCTTTCGCAAGATTTAGAAACACCTAGCCATATTTGAAGTTGCCTTCGCCCTAGACGTGAAAGGTTTAATTTATGAGGGTTTGGTCCCAAATCTCTATTTCCATTATTTAATTTAATTGTTTGTTTATTATTTTCCTTAAAGTTACTAACGTGTGTATTTTGTTATTAGAAAGAGGTACGAGGCATCAAAGTAAGTGCTTCAATGGTTTTTAATTGATATTATGATGTAGAAATCATGTTTAAATTGTTATTATGATATTCCTAGTATCATGTTTAGGGAAAAGGTTATAATATCAAATATGCTTATTATGATTCCTGCGATGTCTTTTATTCTCTTCCTAATATTTATGATTGTTAGTATCATGTTAGGGTTAAAGATTTGATTTTTATTGCTTAGTGACATGCTAGGGTTTGTTATTAATCTTGTTAGTATCATGCCTAGGATCTTGCTATTTTTATTATGCTTTAACATGATTTATGATTGTTTTGATTAAGATTATAATTTTATTATTGCTATAATTGTTATTATAATTATTATAATTACATGATTATTATTATGATTATGATGATTATTATTTTGATTATTGTTATGATGATTATTTTATTTATGATGATTATTTATTATTATTGTTGCTTGATATTTATATTTATTGCTTGATCACGCCTTTTATGCATGTTTAAAGGGAATTTAGTACTTGTAATCACGCTTAATAAGATAATTGATAATCTTGTTAGGGTTAATATGATTATAATTTCAAGTGATCGCCAATAATAGTTTATTTGTGCATTAATTTTCAACCAACATAGATAAACAGGTTTAGGGTAAACTTATTGATTGCATGTTAGTCAGAAAGCGCACATGAATACGATCAGAATAAAGTAGAGGCCTATTATTAGGGCAGGTTCAATCTCTTTTAGGTTGAATTTGTACCTTCATCCCCGAACCCTATTTGGTTCAAGACCTTATGGAGTTGATGATCTCTTGGATCGTTAAGGGGTGTAATCTTCACCCTGTGAATGGTTTACAAGTTCCTAAAACTTGTTGGCGACTCTTTTGCTCTATTTTCTTCCCTTTTGGACGCTACCGTACTTTAGCGTATGATCACAGTGGGGTTAAAGATAGGGATTAACGCTTGAAAATATTCCCTATAGTTTTTGGCGACTCCACTGGGGAGGATTTCTATTTTAATTCCTGAATTTGTTTTGGCAATGATCTAGAATGAGTGGATGAGACTCGAAATGTTCTAAGTATTTCATGTGCGTAATTTTGATTAACATTATTGTCATATGCATAAAAAAGATCTCATTGGAAAGACCATCCGTAATGAGTTAAAAACATAGGATTTTACACGTAGGAAATTTGAGAAATATCTTTCCCAACTAGGACCAAAATAACACCGTGCGAAACTGGAAAATTTTATCGAGCACAGAAAGCCGCTGAGGCATGTGGGAAGTAGCGCCAATGACCAGAGCATTGGCGCCAGACATTTAACTGTAGCGCCAGACGCCAACATTGGCGCCTGGCGCTACAACTAAATCCTGGCGCCAGTCTCTGATTGCTGGCGCCAATTTCCCCCAATACCGAGCCTGAAATATGTGTTCTAATTTCGATCGGTTTTTCGTATTGTTTGCTCGATCCTACTTCCTGATTGAATTTTTTCTCACTTTTCTGAAACCCATATGTGTTCTACATATGGACATAACCCTCTGGGAATTCATGCTCCATCTACCTAATTGAACGCTCTGTGCAACAAAGGGTACATCCGAGAATGTTGAATTCACCAAACCATGGAAGCGAGTTTTTCGAAACTCGCGGTTTCCCATCCACTCGCGCCAACCCTTCACGGTTAGGCTTCCGCGCGGTGCATCCGGGCAATTAATCATAGACCCTCTATTGACTAAACCATATCCCTAACTTTAGAGAACTAGAGCCATGGTTAGGTTGCAAACGTATTGCATCATATTATGCCTACTTGACTAATTGTGCATTATTTGTTGTGCATATATTCTATGTTTCTCTTAACCGT